ATTTGTATCATAAGGCATCTGCCCAGTAAAAGAACAAGTTGAATCTCTTTGATCAAAGCAAAACTGAAACAACAAAACTGTTGTTTCAATAGATGAATAATTTAATGAAATATATAATTTAAAAAAAAACTTTTTTTTTCTTATATTTTCAGTGGCTTTCTGCCATATTATCCCCTGCTAGTACCTGCAGTAAAGAAGTAGAACCATGGTTATTTGTAGGGCAATAAACAGTAGTGTGTACAGCTGGCATCATTACAGCGCTAGATCACACTACTAATTGGTGCTACTCTGCATTCTGATGCATTGCCTTTACACTGAAGGGGAATATACAGGTTGAACCTCTCTAGTACTGCACTATCTGGTCCAGCAGTATCTGTGGTCCAGCATGATTTTAGTTAGCCAAATGCCCACTTACCATGGGTGTGGCCAAGTTTTCTATAATCCATAAAGTTTGTTTACAGCCACCAGTCCTGCCTAGAAGTGTTCTGTGCTGTTTTTAGCTTTAATTTACCCCAGCAAGCTCTTGGTCATGCTGCTAGACAATATTGACCTCCCATGGTCCAGCAAATTCTCTTGTTCAGCACCAGTGAGGTCCTGAGGCGGTCAGACTAGAGAGGTTTAACCTGTATTGAGAGATTGAACTGCTCTGGACATAGCAGAAACTCTTGGGTGCTTAAGAGTCTAAACTCCCATCTCTGCAGCAGGGAGCCTGGAAAGTCAGGGTGCTTTTGAGTTTTCTAGACTCATCGCTGCAAGGCTTGGAGTCTGGAGATTCTGGAACAGGCTCCCCAGTCTATAACTCTTGGACAGCCAGCCATGCAGCCTGATCTTGGGTATGAGAACAGTGTTCCCTATAAACTGAGCACATGGGCAGCCACCCAGGAAAGATTCAAATACTGCCAAGCTGATTAGCAGAGCATCCACAGTCAGCAGCATCTGATTTTACTGGTAGTGCACATAACAAAACTTATCCCACACATGGATGGAAAAAATTAGAGTGAGACCCAGGGTGTCTAGGTGCACTAGAGGTACAGGCCTTGGGAACTCCAGAAGCTGCAGAGTGAAACTGAATAAACCAGAAATCTGGAGTTTTGGCAGCTCTGCCTAGCACAATGAAACTCAAGAAACACCACTGCAGGCACCTGTTTCTTTCCCACAGGGCATCAGAGAGGTTTTTCCCCCAAGGCTGTGTCCAGACTCAGGGTTTTTTTCGAAAAAACTTCACCTGCGTCTAGACTGCAGCCGCGTTCTTTCGAAATTAAATCGAAAGAACGCGGCTTTTCTTTCGACAGTGGTAAACCTCATTTCACGAGGAAGAACTCCTTCTTTCAAAAGTGCTCTTTCGAAAGAAGGCATTCTTGAATGTAAATAGGGCTTCTTTGAAAGAGAGCATCCAGACTCACTGAGTGCTTTCTTTCGAAAAAGCAGCTTGCTTTTTCGAAAGTTCTGCGTGCAGTCTAGACACTCTCTTTCGAAAGAGGCTTGCAGTCTAGACATAGCCCAAGAGATTACTGGGTGAGTTGTCATTTATCATGTGGTTCCCAGGTTTTATCATTCCATCTGCACTGTACTCTTATCAGTAGAAATCTTGTGAGGCAGGGGTAATGTTTAACTACAGAATCATTCTGTTTTACAAGCAGGAGTTTTCCAAATGAGGCTAAGGGAGCTGGATATAAGTGTTCATATAGGACCCCCTTTAAAAATCCAGCTTAATTTTCCTGTAGTTGGTTGCAGCAAGAGAAGGTGACTGAGGTAACATCTGGAGTACTGCATCCAATTTTCCCCTCCCCATCCCATTGCAGAAAGGATGTGGAGAAAGTCCAAAATGATAATCAAAATGATCAGGAGGCTGGAGCAAATGATTTATGAAAAGAGGCTGAGGGATATGGGTTTGTTTAGTTTGCAGAAGAGTGAGGGGGGATTTGATAGCTGCCTTCAACTACCTAAAGGGAGGTTCCAAAGAGGATGGAGAGAGGCTGTTCTCAGTAGTGAGGGATGGCAGAACAATGAGCAATGGTCTCAAGTTACAGTGGGGGAGGCCTTTCAGAGAGGAAGCCATGTTAATCTGTAATGGTATGTCTTCACTAGCTCGTTAGTGCAAATGAGGGCAACTGGAGTTGCAAATGAAGGCCAGGATTTAAATATCCCAGGCTTCATTTACATGTTCCCAGGTGCCGCCATTTTTAACCCCCCCCCCTTAGTCCGAACTAACTGCCCGTGGCTAGACGCAGCAGTTAAACGTTAATTCGAACTAACTCCTTAGTTCGAATTAACTGTTAACTCCTCATTCCACGATCATGCATAAGGGGTCTTTTCCAGGGCCAGTTGCATGGTAGAGGAGACCTCAGGGCTCCTGTAATCTACATCAAGCTCTGAATGAGCTGCCTTGCAATAGGTTGGTAGAGGGAGGCTGAGTGAGCTTACTCACTTCTATTCCTGTGCCCTTCTCATTGCTGCAGGCGGAAGTAATACAATTAATATTCTTCAGGGAAGGTCAAAGTAGTACATAAACTTTAGAGGCTGAATTATGTTTGTGAGTGAGGCATTTGAATCATGATTTTGTTTGTGTACAGACTTGTTTGTGTACAGACTAAATAAACCCAAATCCCTCAGCGTCTCCTCATAAATCATATGCTCCAGCCCCCTAATTATTTTGGTTGTTCCTCGCTGGACACTCTCCAACAAGTCTACATCCTTTCTGTAATGGGGGCCCTAGAATTGGATGTGGCCTCACCAGTGCCAAATTAAGTGGGATAATCACTTCTCTACATCTGCTGTCAATGCTCCTCCTAATGCACCCTAATATGCCATTAGCCTTTTTGGCTAAAAGGACACATTGTTGGCTCATATCCAGCTTCTCGTCCACTGTAATACCCGGGTTCTGCTGAACTACTAAGCCAGTAGGTCACCAGCCTATGACAATGCTGGGGATTCTTCCGTCCCAAGTGCAGGACTCTGCACCCATTTAACCCCCTCAGACCTCCCCTGGCCCAATCCTCCAATTTGTCCAGGTCACTCTGCACCC